ATGCCCCTTTTATAATGCAATATGACACATACAGAATCACCTGTAAAATATTCTTGCCAAAATTGTTAACTCAATGTAATCAAGGCCAGATCTAACTTCTAGTTTAAGGAAATACAGAGGAGAATGGAACAAGCCAAATTCCACCAAGAGGGGGCTGGAGATGTGGCTCAAGTGGTAGCGCACTCGCCTGGCATGCGTGCAGCCCGGGTTCGATCCTCAGCACCACATACAAACAAAGATGTTGTGTCTGCCGAAAACTAAAAAATAAATATTAAAAGTTCTCTCTCTCTCTCTCTCTCTCTCTTTAAAAAAAAAAAAATACACCAAGAGGAAACATTCAGACACATCCAAAAGGTAGAATAATCTAAAAGCCAACTGGCTTGTTCTCCTCTAAGTTAGTGAAAGGAACCAGGCAGAAGAACTGACCCAGACTATGCTAGCCACCCTCTTAAGACAGCCCCCGGTGATTTTCGCTTTCTGATATTCAGATCTTGTGCACTACCTCCCACAGGGGCCTGACCTACGCAACCAATAGGATTTTGTGGACAAGATAGATAAAACTTCCAAAGTCAGGTCATAGAAGATGCAACTACTTCAGCTTTGCTCCCTCTTGGGTCACTATCTTGGGGAAGCAGTTGCCTTCAAGCAAGTCAGTGAAAAGATCCATGTTAAGAAATCAAAAGAGATACCTTTTAAGTATCTCTAAACCAGTCTATGTCTCTCTTTCTCTCCATGGCCAACAGCCAGCACCAAATTGTCATCTGTGTGCCAGTGTGCATGAGCAATTTTGGAAGCTTTATCTTCCAGCCTGAGTGAAGTTTTCAGATGACCACTGTCTTGAGCAGTTAATAAATCATTGCTTTGAGCCGAATGTTCTCTCTGCCAAGTGGATGCTGATCCATAATGGGGGGGGGTCGGCGCATGGGAAAAATGGAGAAACTTTGATTAGGCAAAGCGGGGGAGGGGAGGGAGCATGGGGACAGGAAAGATGGTGGAATGAGATGGACATCATTACCCCAGGTGCGTGTATGACTGCACATATGGTAGGATGCTACACCGTGTACAACCAGAGAAATGAAAAGTTGTGCATCAATTGTGTACAAAGAATCAAAATGCATTCTGCTGTCATGTATACCTAATTAGAATAAATTAATTAATTAATTTTAAAAATCAATCAATCATTGCTTTGAACTAAGTGAAACCTGGACAGTGAGCCCGCTTTGCGGAACCCCGTGGTACAAGGATGCCAGGGGAACGCCCATTTGCAGCTTGACTCCTGTTGATATGAAACTTCAGTGCTTGTCATGCAATTCTCTAGTTCAAAAGCCTTGATCTCAAATCCCAGCTGCCAGTAGATAGAAGAGATGGGTGTGGGTGTAACCTGCTGAGCCCCAACTGTGTTGTTTTTCTTAACTTCATCCTGTTTACCTCAAGAAGTTTTTCACACTGAAACCCTTTAATGCCCATACCTATGAAATAAACTTGTGGGTTTTCATTCCCCTGGTTAAATAGTCTCCATCAGAGCTGGATTATCCCACCAGCCCCAGACCCTCACCCCTTGCTTTTCACTTATTTCCATGTATTTGACTTTATTTCTTAAATTTCTCATTCTTTTAATATTTCTAATCCAACTCACCACCCTAGTTCAGGGAAACTGAGTAAACACTGCACCGGTTGTGATAGACTACAACAACCCTTGCCAAAATTGTGACTACAACCTTTGTGGGAGAGGAGAGATTAAAACCAGCCACACTGTTTCCAAATTCCTGACCCACAGAAATTGTGTGAGATAATAAAGTTCTATTGTTTAAGTCTCTAAATTTTAGGCTAATGTGTAACACAGCAATAGATAATACATGATCTTAAAAATACTTAATAATCAAATGCACTATATAAACTATGACTGCAACCCGGTTTGAAATTTAAAAAAAAAAAAAAAACAGCTCTAAAAGTTGTTTTATAGTGCAATTCAGGAACCTTGTCTATGAACTGGATATCAGATTATATTAAGGAATAGCTTAATTTTGTTAGCTATGATATGTAAGTGAAGGTCCCTGTTTTTAGAAAATGCATATTGAAGTGTAATATCATACCTACCACTCTCAAATAATTCAACAAAATGAAAAACATGGCCACACCTAAAGCTAGTATGGCAATATTAGCAATCATTTCAGTGGAGGATACATAGGTATTCCTTGAACAGTTTTTTCAACTTTTCTGTATGTTTGATAGATTTCATGGGTTTTATTTGTTTAGATGGAGATCTTCCTGTATTACTCATATTAACCTTGAACTGGAGATCCTTCTGCCTCAGCCCTCTTAGTAGTTGGAATTACAGACATGTGCTACCATGCCTGGCTGATAGATTTCATATAAAAAATTGAAGAGGAAAAAAAATGATCACAATTGCCCAACGTCTTATCACAATCTGACAGTGATTCCATTTGTCCCATAAATTTTTAGCTTCTTCCTATGGTTCCTTCACATGCTAGTTCATAAAGTCCCAATACTTCAATAAACAACCATATGCTGATGATTTCAAAATTCCCATATCTAATCCTCATCCCTTGACTTCAAAACTAACTCTTTATGCCCCAATGAACTCACTGGCTGTCATCACTCCTAAACCTGTTCCTCTTCCGTGTTCAGTAGCCTAGTGAAGTGTTCTACCCAGCTTCTACCCAGTGACCAAGCTAGTATATAAGGTACCATCTTTCACTCCTTTCTGTTCTTCCTCCTTCATAAACCAATAAGTGACCATGTCCCTGCAGTTCTACCTTTTAAGTATCTCTCAAACCCATCCATGTCTTTCTCGGAATTTCCAGGGTGAAGGCCTTCACTTGAGACATCACCCTCTCTAGCCAGACATAACTGACCCACTAACTTGCCTCTTTGCCTCCAATATTGCCATTAGAATAAATTTCTAAAATGTATTTTTTAACCAAGTCATTTCCCAACTTAAAATGCTTTAAAGTCTCACTATATTGGAATAAGGTGAACAAGTCATCTCTCTCTTCCTCTCCTATTCCTTCTCTAGGAGCACTTCTCTCCCTCTTTCTTCCACTAGACTGAACAACATCCATTCATTCTTTACTTCTTAGCTTAGATTTTATTTCCTCTCAGGAACTCCCCAAAATATGAGTTAAGAGTCCTCTACTGTAGCCCCAAGCCACCCTGGACTTTGGGGGGGGGGTGTACTTACTGCACAGTTTGGTAACTGTCTGTTTATAATTTACATCCTTCACTACAGACTTTAAGGTCCAGGAGGACAAGTGCTCCATTTCAAAAATGCAATACTTAGGCTAGGGGCAGTGGTATGTGCATGTAGTCCTGCTGTGGTGTGAAATGACAAATACAATCAATAAGAGTGTAAGTTATAGGTTATAGGTTAGTAAAAAATATAGATCATAGATATAGAATTTGATAAGTGAGTTAAGATAATTATAAAGCAAAAACTGTCATAGACAGGCCTAGGACTCCATTCTGCTGCCTTCTATAAAAAAAACTGTTACAAGAGCTGTTTCTGAGAAACTGAAATGAAAGCTGTTTTCTTATAATAGATTGATTTCTGTACTTTGTACCCCACAAAGTGCACTCAACCCAAGATATGGTGGTCTTGGTGACTCAAGACTTTGAAGTAGATTCTTGCCCCCACTAACCACCTGCTCAAACTCAGGATACAATTGTCTAACACCTGCTCAAACCCAAGATGCGATTGTGAGTTGCTGTGCTAATTGCTGTCTTAAAAATTCTATGATTGACTTGCTTGAATGATGCTAAGGAAAGTCCCTGAGCTGTGGTTTTTGTCCTTAAATTCCCAAGACACAAGCCAGGAAATGGCTGTTCTCCCATAGAGCTTCAGTCTCTATGGGTGGGCGACAGTCCCTGGCCAGGTAAATAAAGCTATGTTTGATTTGAATTTGGACATAGAGTATTTTCTGAAGTGGCTTCTCATAATAGTCCTAGCTACTTAGGAGGCTGACACAGGAGGATTGCTTGGGCCCAGGGGTTCACCATCAGCCTGTGTAACATAAGCAAGACCCTGCTTCTTAAGAAATAAGAATGCAATACCAATATTACTAGTAACAATAAATGATGGAATGAGGAGATACATATACATGTTACATATATATGTGTGATTGTATCTATCTGAGGTATAGTTGACATTAAGAAAAATGTACAAATCTGAAATATGAAAGTCAATCATTTTGATAAAAATACATATCTATGTAACTATTACCATCTCAATCAAGATATAGAACATCCCTTCAGAATGTCCCTTGTACTCTTTTCTATCAATTTAAAGTTTCTATCCCCAAATAACCACTTTTCTGCTATTACTTTAGACTAGTTTTACGTATTTTAGATTTCATATAAATCACATAGCAAATAGTCTTTTGTGTCTGGTTTCTTTCACTAACTTAATATATATTAGTTGTATTAGTTCCTCCCTGTTATTACATGCAAGTTTCAGTAGATTTTCTTCCTTTTTATTTTTGAGCTGCATATCATTGTATAAATATATACAATTTGTTTATCTATTTACCTAAACAATGAAAATATAGGGTCTTTCCACTTTGGGGCTATTATTTGTATAAGTCATTTTGTGGATACATAATTTTAATTTTCTTTTTAAAAAATATTTTTAGCTGTAGATAGACACAATATCTTTATTTATTTTTTTATGTGGTCCTGAGAATCAAACCCAGTGCCTGACACATGCTAGACAAGCATACAACCACTGAGTCACAACCACAGCCCTAAATTTTCTTGAGTAAATTGTAGTAGTAAAATATCTGGGTCATGGAGTACATATATTTTTACCTTATAATATTTAGTTATATACTTTAAGAAACTACAAACATTTTCCCATTTTTATTCCATTAGCAGTGTATGAGAGTTCTAGTTGTTCTGTATCCTCACCCATATTTGGTGTTGTCAATCTTTTTAGTCATTCTAATAAAAGTATACAGGTATCTCATTGTGGTTTCATCAATTACCTTTCACTTGTGAAATTAATGGTAAATTCTCAGTTATCATCTTATTTGATCTCTGCAAGGTTGCTGACCCTCTTGATCTTATTACAACAGTCTCTTTCCTCATTTCAATAGTACTATATTTTCCTGACTGTCCATCACTGTGGTTGATTCTTCTCATCTTCTTTTCTTCTTTCTTCCACTGAAATGTTGGAATTCCCAGTCATCTCACTCAACATACTCTTTGGGAAATCTTATCCATGTTCACAGCTCCCACAAACTTGTCTGTACAATGATAAACCCAACATCTCCATCTCTAAGCAAAACTGCTAAAAAGCTCCAGACCAACATACCTATCTACCGGGTAGACATTTCCACGTATACATTCCAAAACTAAAGTCAGTATTTTATGTATGCTAAGAATAGCACTGCCACCAGGGACCAAGTTAAAAAAAAACAAAGATACCCTGACTTCATCCACTCTCTTGCTCTAGAAGACAGAGCTAATGAAAGCCATAGATCTCCTCTCTGAAAGCTAGATAAAAGCTATGAATCTTTAAACACACACACACACACACACACACACACTTTATTTACTGGTTCTGAAGCCTCTCTATGGAGTTTCAAAGTCCATATCCCAGGGTAAGAGATGCTGCTCTATCGATAGCCTGTCGATGATGTCTCCTCAACATTCTTATAACCAGCTACTATGTTCATCTACAGTGTTATAACCTTTGGTTCAAAATTTCTTCTGAGAAACTGATATGACTCCATTTTTGAGAAACCAGCCTCTGCCTCAGAGCAAAGCCTGTCCAAGGAAGGGGGTGTGACCCTTGTCCTTGGAAAAACCCACAGAGCACTCCTAGGCAGATAGCCACCCTGCCGAGTTGTTTGTCTGCAAATAACAGAAGAGGTGACTCAGTTAGGATAGGTGAGGACCCATAGCAACCCCCTAACAACCACCAATCAGCATGAAACAGAGAAAATACCTGGGATGCCAGATGACCCCCCACTAGTTTATGATGGTTGATAACATGTTGGGAAACCATGTAGTTTAGCACATACACCCTTCGAGGCTTAAACCAATTTAGTTCAAATGAATCCCTCTCTTGTACTAACCAATCACCTCTACCTAACTTGTTCCCACCAGTGAATGTGCTAATCAATGTTAAGAATTGTTGTTTGATTTTCCCTCGGTGTGAAATGACTTGCTGTGTGATGTTGTGAGGCATAGAGTATACCAAAAAAAACTATAAATCTCACTGAACAAAGGACCTGGTCTCACTCCCTGGGATCGCTGCATCGGGAACAGTAGTGAGTGAGACCAGGCTTGAGCTTGCAATAAAGACTATTGTGTGATTGCATCAGATTCGGCTCCTGGATGTCTACTGGGGTCCCACAAATCGAATCTGGCATTACACTACTCTGGTAAGCCAGAATATATCTAGTCCAAGGGACTTAGTAAGCACCTAATAATGAATAAGCACTGTGTTTTTGCTAAAGATATATCACTGAACATGAAACAGAAAATCTCTTCTCTCAGGCAGCTTATAATACATTGGGGAATATAACATATATAATTATAGGTAGAGAAGTGTGCTATGAAGTTTAGGGTTCTATGAGAGGATGTAACAGGTGGACCTAACCTACATAATGAAGATCTCCAATGATGTTTAAATTGAGAATTGAAGAATGAATTATCTAAGTGAAGATACTCTGAAATATACTTTAAATAAAAAAAGAAAATTTTATATTTAAAATGATACTTGGACTTCTATTTCTAGCAATATGTCCAGACTAGATATCCTGAATTAATCCCCATTCTTAAAAAATGTACTATTTTTAATCAAACATAAAAATAAATGTTAAAAAAGCATCAACTGAGTCAGCTGTAGTGCCATGTGCCTATAATCCCAGTAACTCAGGTGGCTGAGGCAGGAAAGTCGAAAGTTTCAGGGGAACCTAAACAACTTAGCAAGACCTTGTCTCAAATGAAATAAAAAGGGCTAGCGTGCCAGGTGCAGTGGTGCTCACTTGTCTTCCCAGTGGCTCAGGAGGCTAAGGCAGGAGCATCATAAATTCAAAGCCAGCTTCATCAACTTAGGGAGGCCCTAAACAACTTAGTAAGACCCTGTCTCAAAAAAATAAAAATAAAAATGGATGGTGACATGGCTCAATGGTTACACGCCCTGGGCTCAATCCCTAGTTCCTAAAAAAAGAGGGTGCTAGAAGTGTGGCTCAGTAGTTCAGGACCTTTGGATTCAATCACCAGTAAAATACACACATACACACACACACACACACACACAATCAATAGGCTAACAAAAGATTACCCTGAAAAAGAAAAGGAACAAAAATCTTATTAAAAATGGGAGGGGCTCGGGCTGTAGCTCAGTGGCAGAGCACTTGCCCTGCATGTGTGAGGCACTGGGTTTGATCCTCAGCACCACATAAAAATAAACAAAATAAAGGCATGCTGTCCAACTACAACTACAAAAAAATTTTTTTTTAATTTTAAAAAAAGGGAAATCAGAAGGTAAGCAAAGTATAAAAACTGACGTTTCCCTTAATATCACAGACACAAATGCTGAAACTGCATTCATTTATATTATACTCCCTCAAGGAGTATAGACAATAGGAAACAAATTGAAGAGTTATTCAAGGTATGAAATCTAACAGAAAAGTCCTCGCATAAAGCTGAAAATCCAAGGGCTTCACTGAGCTACTACTTCTAGCATATCATTTTAGCAAAGCGCCACAATTTTAGCAATATACTCTGTTGGGAAGGCTATGAGAAACAGTCACTCTCATATATTGCTGGTGAAAGTATAATTCCTATGAGGCAACTTCAGCAACATCTAGCAAAATCATATATGCTTTTATCCTCTGACCCAGCAATTCCACTTCCAGAACTCTATTCCAAAAACATATTTGTAAAACTACAAAATCACATGTGCATAATGTTGTTCATGCAAAATTATTTGTGACAACAAAAAACTGGGAATAAATGACGTCCATCAATAAGCACTTGATTGAAAAAATCATGACACAGCCACTCAATAGAGTGCTATGAAACAATCAAAAGGATTGGGGAAGATCACAATACACCGATATGGAACAATATAACGTTAAATGGAGAACAGGTTACCGAGTTGTGTATATAGTATGCTTCCTTTTGTGTAAGAAAAAGGGGGAATATTTGCGTCTCTGCGCATGTTTACTTCTATTGCTAAATGAAATAATGGAAGTATCACTAATCCTTCTACTGTGATGCAGCATGAAGTGTTCTTGGAAAAAAACAGACCCAGACGCTAAAGCTTTTAGATCAACCTTCCAGTTTAAGAAAAATAGGCAGGACGAAAGCACACGTTAATGAGAAACCACATTCAGGTATAGGAAAACTAACCCATTTCACAAATAAGTGCCACAAGAGAGAATAGATGGAAACTGTTCAAAATTAACAAAGATATCGGAAAAAATCTTGAGACACAACGACCAAATATAACCTGCTACAAACCAACTGCACAAAGACATTTTGAGAAAAATCAAGGAATCTGACTATGAAATGGAAGCTGGATGAGACTGAATTGCCAAAACACCTCAAGTGCAAAGAAATCTGCCTGTTCCTTCTCCGGGGAAGCTAAGGCCTCTTCCTCACTGCTAAGAACCAAGGCATCCCTCACTGGCCACTCCACCCTTGGCGCGGCCTTGTGAGCGAGTCCGCAGAGGGACGGCGCAGCCGCACTGGTTCGCCTTCCCACCAATCTCGACCCTCGACGCGTTCCGTTCGTGCGTGCAGCAATCCGGACCCGAGGAGAGGCAGCGCGGTGGGCAGGGGCTGCGGCACGCCGTGTAGTGGGCCAGCGACGGCGTGGATGGCGGACTCGCAGCTGTTCTGCGTGGCCGAGGAGCGCAGCGGCCACTGCGCTGTGGTGGACGGAAACTTCCTCTACGTGTGGGGGGGCTACGTGGTAAGGGGAAGAGGCGGGACGGGGCGGACTCGCGCAGGGAGCCCGCACGGTCTCTAGGGCCGAAGGGGCGCTGAGCGCCCGCCCACACCCGCTCCCTAGGTCGGGTGCGTCCCGGGCCGGGGCCAGGCGCCCCCGCGCCCTCCCCACTCCGCCTCCCGTTGCCCTCCCAGCCGCCCCAGGCGCGACGCCGGCCCGCCGTCGCCTCCACTGCTAAAACCTTCAAACCCCGGTCCACGCCCTCCCTCCCCTCCCCCAGCTGTCCAGTAACCCCCGGTTTGTCCAATACAGTTACAGCGAGATTAGTTACCTTTAAATACCCGCGCAGAATTGAAAAGACCGTGGGCGCCGTTCTGTATTGTTTTATGTTTCCAATTTCCACGGTGCGTTTCGAAATAAAATATCGAAATCGCTGAAGCAGCTAAATATTTCTAGGTTATTTTGGCGGCGTTTCTTTGCCAAGGGGTAATTACAAATATATATATATTTTTTTCTGGATTTTCAAAATAGACTTTATTAGCAACAATATGCTAAAGTATTATGGTTGAAAATTCTTATTACCATGGAGGTTGGAATGTGTGTGTGTGTGTGTGTTTTGCTTCTATAATCTAGGATTATAGCAAGAATTGTAAAACTGGAAAACAATTCAGGAATATATGCCATCCTGTTAGATTACAGATCAAAAATAAAGCCATCTGGAAGCTCTGCTGAAAATAGAATCTACATTTTCTGACTGACTGAATACTATTATGTGACAGACCTGTAACATGACTGAGGAGCACTGAAATAAAGTACATGCTATGCATGTTAATAATTCTCACATCCAAGTGGGTTTTTATTGTTTGTGTGTTTATTCTTACTTTAGTGTAGTATCAGAAAAATTAGAATTAATCTTTGAGTGTTTACTATATCTGGCATGGTGCTAGGAACTTTTATGTCCCTAATCTTACATGATCCTCACTACAACCCTGTAAAGTAATTAATATCTTCATTTTATAAATAAGGACAGAGAGACAATGGGAATAAGTCACTTTAATGGCCTTTTGACCTCAAGGACGACAGATTATGAAAATACTCAGACTATATTTAATACGCTAATATTAATTGATTATGCCATACTGTTTAATATTTTCATCTTTTTTTGATTTTGGTAGTAGGAATTGAACCCGGGTCACTTAACCACTGAACCACATTCCCATCCCATTTTATTTTATTTTAAGACAAGGTCTAGCTAAGTTGCTGAGGCTGGCTTTCAACCCGTGATCCTCATGCCTCAGCCTCCTGAGCCACTGGGATTGCAGGCCTCCACTATTTGTTCTTGATGAAAAAATAGTCAAGATGTAATGATGCTGTTGCACAAGAAGTGTTTTGGTTGAGTTCTGCCACTTGAGACACTTGTAAAGGTGTCAAATTTCATCTGCTATTTGTAATAAGTAAAAAAATTTCACTTAATCTTATATAGATTTGCTTTAAACTCATGAATGAAATGTCTCATATCAATGTAGAATGCTTTGAGGCCCATAATGACATGCGTGAATTTTTACATCTTAGTTTAATCTTGAAAATTGTGTAATTGATAATATTAATTCCGTTAATATAATAATTCAGTTTTTGTTCCTGAATTGAAATACTTCCTTTCATGCTCTTATCCAATAAGCAGAGATGCTATCAGAACCACCCTGGATAATATAATACAAATTTAGATCCACAGTGTACTACTTTTTAAATTCCAGATATCATTAACAGTTAAATCATTTCTAGTTGTAAGTGAAAGGAAAAGAAGGTAGGAAGCAAAAAAGAAGATAGTATATCATGAGAAAAAGTATTTATCCTTCAACAATAGTTTGAGAGTAGCCTTCGCACAAAGAGCTAAAAGTCCCTGCATCTGGAAGTATTTTAGTAGTAAGTTGTTTTTTGATCAAATGAGTCTACATTTGTGTGTAACAATCATAATTTTCCTCCTCATTAACACAAACTATGTTAAAATCAACAAACATATGTCCTAGAAGTCACAGATATACATCTAAACTACTTATTGTCCTACTATGAACAGGTTTTAAAGAACAATGTATCTGAAAACACCTCTGGAGGTAAGAGTAGTACCAAAAAAAAAAAAAAAGTAAATGTTAAATCCTAATTGGTGCCAGTACACTCTTTTGCTTAGTTCTAGATCTTCCACAGTACTGAAATTCATACAAAATTGAGTGCTACTACTAGGAACATTTAAAGTTGTGAGTAATTTTCCCAAATTTTGGGAGAAAAAGGTACATCTATGTAAGCTGTGTTCTTCTTACAACCTTAATAATTTAAATAGTTCTTTTCCTCAACAATTGATATTAATACATTTTGCTCTGAAATTTCCTTATAGAAAAATCTGCTTAAATATGGTTACAGATTTCTGTTTTGTATATGGATTTAGAAGAATCCATTTAGAAAATGTTTGAAAAGAATGAAGGTAGGAAATACTATAGTAATTAAGTTAGTGGCCCTGATACAAAAGAGAAATCACTATAGGATGGGAAACAAATTACATAAATAGCCAAGCATATACAACTTATTTTGTACTTAAAAGGAAGTATTTCAAATATGGAAAAACATTCACTTGTGTAACAAATGGTCCTAGGATAACTGGAGAAGAATGATATTTGAGTCTTAGGATTGATCAGTTAAATAAAGAAAAATTAAACCACAAAAAGAGAGGAATATATGACTATTGCAAAATCCTGAGTTGGAAAAAGAAAATCTGAGTTTGGGGAAAAAAAAAAACTATAAAGAGAAATATTGGCAGATCAGCTTGAAAAAATTTAAAATTGATTTTTTCTTTTTAGAACAGAAGACTGAACACAGGAGCATGTTACTATTGAGCCACATCCCCAGTCCTTTTTATTATTTATTTGTTTATTTTAAATATTTATTCTTAAGTTTTAGGTGGACACAATTTTTATTTTACATTTATGTGGTGCTGAGGATTGAACCCAGTGCCTAGGCAAGCGTTCTACCACTGAGCCACAACCCCAGCCCCCCTTTTTATTATTTATTTTGAGACAGAGTCTCAATGACTTGCTCAGGGATTCACTAAGTTGCTGCAGCTGACTTTGAATTTGGCAGTCCTCCTGCCTCAACCTTCTGAGCTCCTAAGATTATAGGTGTGCACCACTACAGGACCCAGCTTAAAAATTGATTTATAAACTCCACAAAATAAGGCAAATGACAAATGGGAGAATATTTGCAACTTGTATGATAGATAGAGCAATATCCCCATTGAAGAATGAGCAACGGAAAAGCGCAATTTAACAAAGAAGAAATACATGTATACTATGAACCAATGCTGAAGAAAAAAAAAATGAACCAGTGAGCTGGGCACAGTGGCACACTCCTGTAATCGCAGCAGCTCAGGAGACTGAGACAGGAGGATTGCAAATTCAAAGCCAGCTTCTGTATAAGCGAGGTGCTAAGCAACCCAATGAGACCCTGTCTCTAAATAAAATAAAATCGGGCTGGGGATGTGGCTCAGTGGTTGAGTGTCCCTGAGTTCACTCCCTGGTACCCAAGAAAAAACAAAAAACCAACCAGTGAAACCCAACTGAAAATAAGAAGTTGTTATTTTTTTTTCTTATCTGATTTGCAGAGATTAAAAAGAAATTTGGGGAGCTGGGTGTGGTGGCATTATGCCTGTAATCCCAGCAACATGAGAGGCAAAGTCAGGAGGATGGCAAGTTCAGGTCACTCTCAGTAATTTAGGCCCTAAGCAATTTAGTAAGACTTTGTCTCAAGATAAAAATTTTAAAAGTCTGGGGATGTAACCCAATGGTAAAGCATCCGTGAGTTTAATCTCTGATACCTAAGGAAAAAGGAGAAGAGGGGGAATGGGAGGAGGAGGAGGAAAATAATTTTTGGGAAAAGCATGTGGAAGGAAATTACTAATACATTATTAATGGGAGTACAAATTGGTGTAATCTTTTTGAGGGAAAGTTTGACAATGTGTATTAAAAACCTTAAGTGTATATTCTCCTTAACATAATAGTTTTACTTTATTCATAACTGGTCACATAGGCTGTCTATGTAAATGTAGAAGACATTTTTTTTTTAAATGCCCCAAATCTGAACTTCCTTTCTCTATTTGTGGTATTCATGGTCTGACTATCCCATCTCTGGGTTTAGAATGTAAGTTCTACAAAGATAGTTTTTACCTATGATATCACATGTCTAGAACTGATTATAGCCAACAGAAGGTATTCAATAAAAAAAACTCAAATGCCCACTTTTCCACCCTCAATTGCAGCATAATTGTAGGCAAGTGTGTTGAACCCTGTTGGTTAACCTGTGCTAGATTTGGATTTTAAAATAAAGAAGTAAAAATCCAGGACCCATACAGGATTCTTAGCCTGGCAATACAATTTCAGAAGTACAAGATCCCTGGCATAAAAGGCAATGTTAACTTGCAGTATGGTGCTTTCCAGTGACTGCATACCTGTCCCTATGCCATAGTAGTTTCAGACCTTGTTCTTTTTTTATATAAATCAGACACTAGTCCTCTAGTCTCTCTGATAATTTTGTGAGTTGCTTGATTTTTTTTTTTTTTTTTTTTGGTACTGGTGACTTAACTCAGGGACACTTTACCACTGAGCCACATCCCCAGCCCTTTTTTATTTTTTATTGTGAGACAGGATCTCACTATATTGCTTAAGGCCCCCACTGAATTGCTGAGGCTGGCTTTGAATTTATAATCTTCCTCCTCAGCCCAAATTGCTGGGATTAAAGGCTTGTACCACCACACCTGTCTGCTTTTTTGCTTTGAAACAAAGTCTCACTGCATTGCTTAGGTCCTTGCTAAATTGCCAAGGCTGGTCTTGAATTTGCAATCCTCCTGTTTCAGCACCCAAGCCACTGGAATTACAGGTGTGTGCCTCTGTAATGTGACTGCATACAAAACTGCTTAAGAAACAAAAATACTTGTTTCTTAAAATTTGAAGTAGATGTACAAATGAATGCATAAAATAAAT